AGTTCATAGGGAGTTTTGTTGTGCCTTTTATAAATCATACTCCTATTTTGAGTATAGCAGGCTGTGTTAACAGCTTCAGCCCAGAACCTCTTTGGTAAGGAAGCTTCTGCTAGCATGGTTCTCACTGCTTCCTTCAGGGTTCTGTTTCTTCTTTCAGCTACACCATTCTGTTGAGGTGTCCTTGCTGCGGATGTCTGATGAAGAATTCCATTTTCTTCACAGTAGTGAATGATGATTTCATTCAGGAATTCTGTGCCTTTGTCAGATCTGATCTTTTGAATGGTCTGACTTGCTTGGTTTTGAATCAGCTTCATGCAGTTGGTGAGTTTCCCTTGAGTCTCCTTCTTGCTATTGAGAAAGATTGTCCATGTGTATCTTGAGTAATCATCAACTACCACCAGGACATATTTCTTTCCACTTAGACTTATTGGTGTGACAGGGCCAAATAAGTCCATGTGAATAAGACTTAATATCCTTGTAGTTGAGGGTGCCGATTTTGCCTTGAAGATGGACTTGACTTGCTTTCCTTTTTGGCAAGCATCACAAATGCTTTCCTTTCTGAATGCAGCTTTGGGAAGACCTTCTACCAACCCTTCTTTGGACAGCTTGTTGAGAGTTTTGAAGTTGAGATGACTCAACCTCTTGTGCCAAAGCCATAGAAGGTTAGTGTCACCTTTGCTGATTAGACATGCTTCCTTGACATTGTCCCACATTACTTCATAGATGTTCCTGATTCTCTTCCCAGTGAGAATGACATCATTTGTGGAGATGTTCTTGAGAGATGCCATGTCCTTGCAGAATTCCAAGGAGTAACCTTTATCACAAAACTGACTTATGCTAAGAAGGTTATAGTTGAGACGTTCTACATAAGATACAGCTTGGATGGTTAGTCCCTTGTACACCAGATTTCCTAGCCCTTTAGTAAGGCCGAAATCATTGCTTCCTCCAAAAGTAACTCTTGGACCATCATAGGGAATTAGATTGCTCAAAAGGCTCGCATCACCCGTCATGTGTCTTGAACAGCCACTGTCTAAGTACCAGACACCTGGGTACTTAGCAGCTTCCTGCATTAGGAGGAGGAAGATTTTGGTACCCAATTAAGTTTGGGTCCAGAGTAGTTAATGGTGTGTGTCCCTACATCAAGTTTGAAGTTGCAGGGAATTTTCCTTGCAGCTCTAAACTTATTGGGATTGTAATCATAGTTGTAGGCATAAAACTTCCTACGTGCAGGAGGTGCAATTTCCTGTTTCCTCCTAGCAAACCTAGGTTGATGAGACCTATGATTTTGTCTAGGTTGTGCATAGTGTGGCCTGTGTCGGTTATAAGCATACTTAGGTGGCACAAATAATTTCTGGGGTGGAGGATGACTATATCTTGGCATAGTTCTCCACTCAGAATTTCTTGGAAAACTCCTATCTACCCCATAATGAGTATAGCCTCGTGTATAGTGGGGGTTAGAGGGTTTTCTTCTGAAATTGTTTCCTTTTTGAGGTTTGTCCAGCTTCCTATAGTTCTTAGGAGGGACTACCTTTTTGGGAACTTCTGTTGGTTTCTCCTTTTCCTTTCCTTTCTGCTTATTNGTTATAAGCATACTTAGGTGGCACAAATAATTTCTGGGGTGGAGGATGACTATATCTTGGCATAGTTCTCCACTCAGAATTTCTTGGAAAACTCCTATCTACCCCATAATGAGTATAGCCTCGTGTATAGTGGGGGTTAGAGGGTTTTCTTCTGAAATTGTTTCCTTTTTGAGGTTTGTCCAGCTTCCTATAGTTCTTAGGAGGGACTACCTTTTTGGGAACTTCTGTTGGTTTCTCCTTTTCCTTTCCTTTCTACTTATTTGGTTTGGCAGTAGGTTTAGGAGGGATGAAAGTTGTTCTCCCTTTCCTTTTGGAACTGGAGGGGTCAAACCCAAGTCCTTCACGACCCTTATGTTTGGTCGTTTCAAGAAGCTTGTCCACTGCTTCTTTGGACTTAAGTATCCCTAGCTCTTTATTAAGGGATTTCACCTTTTTAGAGAGAGATTCATTTTCAGTTTTAAGTTGAGTGATCTCATTTAGTTGACTTTTCCGACCTTCAGTCAACTTGAGATTCTCTTCACTTAACAACTTGTTCTCCTCTGTTAAGGATGAGTGTTTGAGATTTATTTCCTCAAAATCTTCCATCACCTTTTTGAACTAGTTAAAAAGATTTTCAGAAGTTGGTATGCTTTCATAAGAAGATGAGCCAGAGGTTTGTGAGGTTACCTCTTGATTAGCATCATCTTTGGACATTAGGCAGAGAGTGTCATCTTCTGACATAGTCCACCTATCCTCATGGTTGGACTTTTCAACTCTGCGCTCCATGCAAACGAGGGCTTCTTCATCCAAGCTTGAGCTGGATGACTCATCACTTTCAGCAGCAATCATTGCCTTCTTTTTCTTCTTGTTTATTTCTCTTTCTTCGTACTTCTCAACCTTTGGGTATGGCCATGCTGACTTCCAGTGGCCAGGCTTCCTGCAGTTATAGCATAAACAAGATTCAGGAGGGGAGTCACTTACTTGTGGCTTTCCCTTGGTTGGCCTTCTGATTGAATCAGCCTTCTTGAATAACTTCTTGAACTTCTGGAATTGCTTGACCATCATGGCAAATTCCTCATCGTAGTTCTCCTTTTTTGAGCTTGACGGCTGGCTGGAGGAGGGTGTGTCACAGTTCCTTGGGCATGTCCCTTCACTTGATGGGACTTTTGGAGTTGTCATCAGTGCCATGGGGAAGGGAGTGACTTGTTCTTCCTTCTTCTTCTTTAGCTCGTGCTCATAGGTTCTGAGCTCATCAAGGAGACCTTGGACAGTGTAGTTTTCCAGGTTTCTTCCTTCTTCCATGGCTGTGGCTTTGGTATACCACTCGGTTGGAAGTGATCTCAGTAACCTTACATTCTTTTCTTTGGGAGAAAGAATGTGGTTAAGTGAGGCAAGATCATTCAAGATTTTGTGGAACCTTTCATCCAACATATCAAATGATTCTCTGGGAAGCATTTTGAAGCCTTTGAACTTCTCAAGCAGAACTTCTATCTTCTGCTTTCTCAAGTCCTCTGATCCCTCACATAGCTTCCCAAGACCTTGCCATATCTCCATGGCAGTCTTGAGATGCTTGATTTTGGAGAAGGTGATGGGATCAAGTGTCTTGAAGATGCCTGCTTTGGCGACGTTGTCCAGATTGTGCTTTTTACAATCTCTATCATCCCATTTCTCCTTGGGCTTTGGAATGTACTTGACTACATCGTGAGTTGCTGGATTCCTCTCAGGATTCTCCATTTGAATTTTCAAGGGTCCATCCTCAAGCACCATCCACATGCAGCCATGTAGAGCGTAGAGATGTGCTTCCATCATGATCTTCCAATCATCATAACCTAAGAGAGAAAACTTGGGCAAACCGTGATCCATATTGTTCACCATTATGATCGCTTCTCGTTAATCTAAACGTAGATAGTGAGAAGTTTGCTCTGATACCAATTGGTGGTCCCAAAGTGGTGAAATACAAAGTCTAGAGGGGGGTGAATAGACTTTGTTACAGATTTAAAATCTTTTTCGTTTCTTTTGAAAACGTGAAAATAAGTGTTAATCTGGAGTTCTTGTGAACTTTAGATTGTGTGCGGAATTTGGTGGGTAGAGTGAGCAGTAATCAATATGGATGGGTTAGTTTTCACAGTTAATATAATTGCAAGTAAGAGTAAAGATAAAAGAGAGAGACACACAAACTTTAACGAGGTTCGAAGGTGGGGTAATCCTTCTACGTCCTCAAAATCCACTATGTAGTTGGTTGTTGAATAATGAACCAACAATTACACTTGTGTGAATTTCTGCACGATATATCTTCGCAAGACTAATGTTGCTACTGCACTCGTGCTGGCTTTATTGTTCCTTCGAAGGTCACGCTTCTTCAACAACTGCAACGTCTGAACAGTAGGACTTGCAAGATCAACTTGTTTGAAAGTTGACCTACCCCCTTTCAATCAATAAGTTTGATCAAAAGTTATATCCTTCAACGTGGTATGGTACTTGAGGCAAGGTAACCTTCAAGTGTTTACACTATAGCTCTTTGGACGGAGGAGAAGTTTGCTTCTGGATAAGGAGTTTAGAAATCTCTCTTTATCAAGCTTGTTGGGCTAGCTGTGAATGAGATAGCTTTGTTGTTAGAGATTGCTTCGTTGTCTATTCATTCATTCACACATTCATTCATATCTTCTCCAGTCTTCCAAGGGTGCTATTTATAGCTGGATTGGATAATCTATCCGTTGAATCATAATAGACTATCTGTTGCATTTGCTGGCTTCAATTTTGAATGAAGATTGTGATTTGAAGATTTCTCATTGGAATGGGTGTTTGGACATACCCAATTGTTTGAGGAGAGATTCCTTTTTTTTCACAGAATCTGTCTTCTAGCTGTTGTTCAAGAATTCAAGACTGTAGCACTTTACTCTGTTTGTCTTCTAGTGCTTGTTTAGGAATTCTGGGCAGGCTCTTTAATTTTAGAGGTCCAGACTTTGTCTTCGAGTAATTTGTTCTTGAATCAGCATAATTATCTTCAATCTAGCCATTGAAAATCAAGAGATTGGTTTTTCCTTACCAACGGGTAGAATTTCTTCATTCAAGACTTAGATAATTTTTCTAAGTCTTTTCTCACTTGTCCGCTTTCTGAGAATTCTGGTCTTCAATGAGTCTTCCGATTCTTAGCTGACAAATCCGGAGGAGTCATTCTCAGACTTCCGGGTGAGAAAGAGATCCGCGCTAGTCTTCCGATTTGTATGACTTAGCCTTCAGCGGGTTGTAGCGAGACATCCGGTTCTTATGTAGTCTTCCGGATCAGAGGATTTTCATTTGCTTGAGAAATCCTTACTTGTCTCTGACATTTCCGATCAAGATATCCAATTTCCATATCACTGAATTTGATTAAGTCTTCAGGCATCAAAACGCTTAAAGAAATATCACAACTTTATTGGAAATCTCAAGAACTCGGTTTTAACAATATTTCTAAAAAGAAAAATTACATTGAATATTGGGGGAGACCTAAAGTCCCTATTACATTCTAAATACATCATCATCAAAATCTATAATATTTTTCCCAACATTTTGCTTTTTGTAAGTACACACAATCTGTTGTATATGTAACTTAAATGCAACATATGGTTTTCATAAGCCCTTTCCCACATTATCATTGCTCATTCTTGCACTCACATCAAGGTAACTACACACAATCTGCTCTATATGTAACTTAAATATAACAAATGATTCTCATAAGCCCTTTCCCACCTCATCATTGTTGATTTTTAGACATTTAGTACTCAAAGTCATTCCATACTTACAAAATGCTCATCACAGTACATAGTGTTTCTCAGACAATGCAAGTTGCAGTCCTCACAGAATGTGACCAAAGAAGGAATACATGCACACACACTTTGACACTGAATGATACACCTAAACTATTTAAGTGTATGCAATGGTGGTACTCAGAGGCATTTTATGAATTCAAAAAGCTCATCATAGTACTCTATTCTTCTGAGACAGATGCAAATACCAGTCGTCATAAAAGTTTGGCAGGCAATATAGGCATGACAGTAGCTTAGCATTTTTATATGTACATGCTCAACACATTGGTTTGATGTGTCCGATTTCACCACACCCATAGCACTTGGGTGGAATTTTCTTCTTAGCTCCCTTCTTGAGCATCATTTTCCTGAATTTTAAGACGAAGAGCCCAAGGTCGGCATCGTTGCTGTCATTATCTTCATCATCAACTTTGTTTTGGGTTGATGTTGTTGCGGGTAAAGCAATAGTCCTCTTGCTCCTCTCTTCAACCACCTTAGAGAGTTGGGTGGTTTCGTAGGTAATAAGATTACCTCGAAGAGCATCATAGGTCGTTGTTTGGAAGTCACGACCTTCTTCAATTGCGTCCACCTTTAAACGCCATTTGGGGGATAAGCTCCACAACACTTTTATCACGAGCTCTCGGTCGGTGTATATCTTCCCGAGAAGATTGAGAGGATTGATGATGTTAGAGAACCTCTCAAGCATGTCCTCAATCTTTTCGTTTTCCTTCATTGAGAAGAGTTCGTACTCGTGAATGAGTTGGTCGATGTTGGCCTCTTGAACCTGCGAGGTTCCCCTTCATAGGTGACCTCCAACTTTTCCCACATTTGGTTTGTGGTTTCGCACCGCGAGATTTTTCGGTATTCATCTGTATTAACACCGCAATAAATTATGTTTATTGCCTTGGCATTAAGTTCCATCTTCTTGCAGTCTTCATCGTTGAACTCCTCTTTGGTTTTGGGAAGTTGACCTCATCAACTTTCTTTATTGGGACTCCGAACCCGTTCTTGACAATCAACCACAGTTTGTATTTGTTGGATTGGATGAAAATCCTCATCCTTTCCTTCCAATGGGAATAGTTCGTTCCATCGAATAACGGTGGCCTCGTGGTTGATTGTCCCTCGCTAACTGATGGGTGGAACATTCTAGATGCCATTGATCTTTTAGTTCCTGAAAAATAAGAAGTATTCAAATAACTTCCTGCTTCGATACTAATTGTTAGACAAGAGTGCAACTCTAGAGGGGGGGGGGGGTGAATAGAGTTGTTTACTAGAATGTACGTTTTCACGGGTGTGATAATGGAAAAATCACAAAAATAACTTAAATATCAAGGGAAGAGATACACCATGATTTATACTGGTTCACCACCTCGTGGCTAGTCCAGTCCTACGAGAGACTCTCTCAAAGTACCTACTAATCTTCAAGCTTCAACGGGTGCTTGAAAAACTGATACAACTCGAGAACTTGAATCAACAAGCCTCAACTTCTTACAACAAGACTTGAGTCACACAAGTCTTAACAACAATCAACAAAACTTGAATCGCACAAATCTTAGCAACAACTCAAACAAGATTGAGTTTAGAACACAAGCATGAAAGCTCACACAATTGAGCAAGTAGAGTTTAGAATATGAAAGCGCTATGGATGAAAATCTCTTTTAGCACTCAATAAAAATATTCTTAACCCTCAAAATAATATATTTGATGAGGAGAATGAAATAAGGAGTTGGATATGAATGAAGGGATGATAAGAGTGCAAGAATTGTGTGTTTGATAAAGGAGGATGAGAGATTTTATAGCGTTGAAAGAAATAAATCCGTTGGAGGTAGGAATGAAATGTTTTTGACTGATTTTATCACAGGTGATCGATCCAAGGCATAAGATCAATCACCAAGAGTTACGAATTTGGTAAAGGAATTAGGTCAAAACCACGGGGGATCGATCCAACCCCATGAATCGATCCTCCGAACAATTTTAGGGAAATATGATGTTTGATTTAGGCAAAAGGATCGATCCTCTGACAGAATGCTCTGCACACTATGATCGATCCACTAAAGAGGATCGATCCTCTGACGAATTATGGCAAAACAAGAAGGACCCAAGGCATGTGTGCGAGTGGAAAGTACAAATTGGAGTTTAGGGATTGTTTGGGACAAAGAAGCAAGATAAGGAGGCTCTATAGTTAAACAAGAATAATTCAAATTTAATTTTTGAATTATAGAGTGATTTTTGCTGTAGAAATCTAGTCCCAAAAATATTGTGTGTCAAACGATATACACGAAAAATATTTAAAGTATATTTTTCTATCTACAAAAAATTTGTGTATCTTTAAAAAGTATTTTAAAATTTTGACACACTAATTTGAAACTGACCCAGTAAATTATTTTTAGACAGAGAAAAATTGATTTTTCAACTGACTTAGAAAATAATAATTTGTCTCTTAAAAAATTAATTTGTTTATTAAAAAATGATTGTCATTCTTACAAAAATTCCTAGACTCAAATAAAAATAAAAGTATTTGGAATCTTCACTTCACTTCAAAAAACTCTGCATAAGGGCAATCGTTGATTTTTATCGTCGTAAATTTCTTAATACGTCTCTTTGCTTTTTTTGATATAAAAAGTAAATTTTTGATCATCGTTGATTTTAATCATCCTGTTTGTCATTTACCAAAACCAAAATATTCCAGAATATATAAAATGAGTTTTTAAACTCATGTCCAACAATAAGAAGTGGTAAACCTATTTTTTATGAAATGAGTAGTAAAAATAAACAAATAAAGTGAGTTAAGTTTCACCTTATGAATAATATTTGGAAAGATCTATATGAAATGGAGAAGTATATCACGAAGTTCTTTCAAGAAGTATTAATTTAAATAAGAGTTGGACACTTTCATTTTTGAATTTAAATACTAGATTTTTTTGTTTGATTCTTGAATAATCTTATACGTAAATTACGGAATCGAAATAAAATTTCATTCTACATCGTGCATTGCATGAGGTAAAATACTACTCCATAAATTTTAGAGTATAGGGAGCATTTGATTAAATGTGGGTAGTAAAATAATACTTCCTTCGTCCATAAATTTGTCTCCGAGTTTTAATTTTTTCTTAAACTTTTTAAACTTTATCTAAAAATTACATAAAAAATGTGTCAAATTATTATATAAATTTAATATCAACTAAAAATTTTAAAATAGAGCTTTGAAATATTATACTCTCTCCGTCTCAATTTAAAACAATTGTTTTCTTTACGAGATTTAACTGAAGGTATTTTCAATTCAGTTTATTTAAAAATTGGTACGAAATTAAGTAATACCGAATAAAATTTAAATATTTAAAAAATACAGCAAAAATTCTACAAATTAAAAAAGCAAGACTATATTCTTTTTCTCAAATGGATAGCAAAAATAGACAAAGACAGATTGTTAAAATTTGACCTAAATAGGAGTTCAAATTGTAATAATGTATTAGTATTTTACATGGACATTTCACAATATTTTAAGGTGATGTATTTGGGGATTTTTTGAGAGAAAGACCATAGTAGGACTAAAACATTGAAAATATACCAAAATAAGACTTCCATGTTTTTATTCCCGAAATAGGACTTACATTATCATACATGGCCATATACATTACCAAAAAAGTATAGTAATTTGCACATGTACACTGTCACATTACAACAGGGCAAAGTCACATTACCACAGTGCAAAGTCCTATTTCGGAAAAAACATGAAAGTTCTATTTTGGTACTTTTCTCTATGTTTTAGTCCTATTTAAGGTGATTTCTAATGTATAAGGTCATAATTGACACTGTAAATGTATTTAACTCCTATTTCGATAATAAAAAATGAAACTCTTGTTGTATTATATTTTTAATGTTTTATTTGTACTTTAATTTTTTTCTTATAAAAAAGGGGAATAATATTATATTATTTTTTTAATTAGTAACAAAATTAATAAAGGATTTGGTTAAATTGGAGCTAAATAAAAAGGGATGGAGTATATGAGCGGAGCAGATATGCGGGGTGCGCTTCAAAATTAATTAATGGAATGAAGGTTGTTGGTTTTTTTGAAAAATAAAATTAGTTTCCAAAATTGTGATTCCACTTAGAGCCATCAACGACTATTTCTTGAACTTTCAATAAAATTTCCAAATCTCTCCACTCCGTATTTGAAATCCACCGCCTCCCACCATAGGCTATATATAAGAAGACTAGGCCTGGCAATGAATTAGGGCCTGTTTGGGAATAGCGTTAGAGATTAGCGTTAGCGTTTGGATAAAATTTTAACGGTGCAGATTATTTTGAAAACGCTAACGCTAAGTGCTGCCCGTAGATAGCTTTTTACAAAACGCTAACGCTATTCCCAAACAGACCCTTACACAATTCCATTCGATCGATCATCGCGTGGAATCTACGCCGGAAAATATGGCGGCGACCACCGCGCGAATCACAGACATCAAATGCTATTCTGTAGTAAACCCTAACTTGGGGCAACTCTGCCTGAGAAGAATCGTTAGAGCGGCGGCGTCTTACGGTGGTCCTCCTCACAATCCGTCATTCTCCGCCGCCGCCCCGCTAGGCCAATCCCGCGTGAATCTCAGATTCGATCTGGCTTCGGTATTGTCTTCCGAGGTACAAGCTTTTGCCTTCTTCTCTAACAAATTGTCCGAAAATTTCGGACTCACTTTTCTCGAGTGTGCCACACTCGCCGCCGTTATGGCGCGCTCTGCTCTCCACGCGATCCGCGCGGGCTGCGGCCCCGGGCTGCTCTTGATGACTCAGATAGAGGTTGTTTACGCGCTTCTCGGACGAATCCCGCCGCCGCCGCCATCCCAGGCTGAGTTCATCGACGGCGGCCTCATTCTCAACCCTGCCGCCGCCCGTTTCCCCACCGCACGAAGAGGAGGAGGGCTGTCTGCACGATTTCCGCTGCCGCCGTCGCGCAGAGAGGCTGAGTTTATCGACGGCGCCTTCATTCTCAACCCTGCCGCCGCCGCCGCCACCCGTTTCCCGACTGCAAGAGGAGGAGGCGGAGAAGGGATGTCCGAGCGCGAAATATGTTCCCTGAAAAGAGGGCCGTTTGCCGGAGCGGAGGAGGAGGTCTGCAGTATCTGCCTGGACGAGTTCCGCCGCGGGTCTTCGGTGGTCACTACCCTGCCGCCGCCGTGCGGCCATGTGTTCCACAGCCGCTGTATCGCCGGGTGGCTGCGCAGGAACAGGACGTGCCCTGTTTGCCGGAGAAGAGTTGCTTAATTGCCGGATTTGATGATTAATTTCACTCTGTAATGATCTGATTTTTGGAATGGGTGTCTGAAATCATGAATTGCCACATGAACAATTCGTGTTTTTTAAAAATTTTAGGTTTTGCAGAAATTCTTTAGATTCTTTGGATTTGACTGTAACAAGTTGTTAGTCTCCACGAATTGATTAATGATATTCTTTCTTGATTTTCTTGATTATGATTTAGATTCAAATGCTCCCTCCCTTTTTATCTAGCTCCAATTTTAACCAAATTCTTTATTAATTTTGTTACTCATCTAAAAAATTCCAATCTTGAGGATTGTTAGTATCGTTTTACTATCTCCCAATAAGTGTTTTTTAATCCTTTTTTTAGCTATTTGGTTCATTTGGTTGTTGTTTTGTTATTCCCTAGATTTTACCGTGCGATGCACAGTAAGAATATTATATAATAAAATTACGAAGTAAAATATACTCCGTAATTTATAGATAGCTAAGTAAAGCTTGTCTCAGTGTTACAATGGCTTTTTTTAGCAGTTGTGATGGATTCTAATAGTAGACGTGATACTCATTTTTTCTCATGTAAACATTTTAAT